ATGATAGGCAACAGAAACGCATGTCAATATGGACCAGAATCTGAGGAATGTACAATTCACACAGGTTCACCAAAATTGGACAATAGAAGATTGGAAAAACACTGCCTAGTCTGAGTCTAGATTTCAGCTGCAACATTCAGATGGTAGGGTCAGAATTTGGCATAAACATGAAAGCATGGATCCATCTTGCCTTATATCAACAGTTCATGGCTGTGCAGCTGACAGATCTGCAGCAAATGCATGATGCATGTCCGTATGGAACAAAATTTCTGAGGAATGTTTTCAACACCTTGTTGAATCTATGCCATGAAGAATTAAGGCAGTTCTGAATCAAAAGGGAGTCCAACCCGATACTAGCAAGGTGTATCTAATAATAAAGTGGTCAAATTCATCACAAGGGGCACTAAAAATATAGGGAACTGAAGTGTGATGCAATTTCATAGGCGCACACAAATGTAAGGTTTAGCATGTTGGGTATCTATTTACGCAGCACAACCTCATCTTTTTCTATTTTACAAAAAATGTGGTAATTTATTGCATTTGTTTGCCCTAAATTTAACTTAATTGTGATTTTTACTAATATTTTGAGTTTATTAGACCTTTGCAATAATATCGTGTGACAAAAAATTTACACTATCACTATTTTTATTCTGTAGGCTGTCTGCTTTCAGAAAATATATAATATTTTTGAGGTTTGTGCATTCTTAAGTCCTAAAATTAATTTTTTTTTTTTTTTTTTTTTGTTTTTTGCCTTTAGCCCTGCTGCGGGCAAGCAGCAGAGCTCACCTGTCGGGTGGAAGCAATTGAAGCAAACTGCCGCTTGATTGCTTCCACACAGCCCACAGTGTCCGCCTCTCCCCGCTATATGTCCCGGGCTCTACTTGCCCATCGGCAGGTGCTGTGGGATGTGATATAGGGGAGGGAGGAGTAGAGTGGACACATCCACTCACCTCCCCTCCCCTTCTCCTGATCCAGACGTGTCATCACTTCCAGGTCCCCGTTCGACAGATTCCCAGTCATTGAGGCCGGGAAAGAATGTAATGTGTACTGTATTCTATTCACGGGAGACATGCAGGGTCTTTTAGACCCTGTAATGCTCAAAAGAGAACCTGTCATCACATAAAATTTTAAAATGGAAGTTACACACACAAACTTAAAAGCACATACTCTGGGCCTACACATGAGAACGTGGATTGCAATACACATGTTGCATATTGCAGCGCACGCCAGAATGAGAGAAATCGAGCACCAGAACACCACCGTACACTATACTGATGACCTATCTGGGGCTTTAAAAGTTTCGCCTATAGAAATTATAGGGTACTAAAGTTTGTTGCCATTTCACGAGTGCATGCAAATTTAAGGTTTGACGTGTTGGATATCTATTTACTCGATGTAACCTCTTTTATATTTTACAAAAAAATGTAATTATTGCTTTTTGTTCCCTAAAATTAACATAAGTGTATTTTTTACTGCAATTTTGTGTTTTCTAGACCTTTGATAATATCATGTGACATAAAAAATTGGAACTACTGCTATTTTATTCTCTAGGGTCTCTGCTTTCAGAAAATATACAATAATTGGGGGGTTTGTCTCATCTTCAGGTTTAAAAACGATTTTTAAATAGTGTGCAAATAACACAAAAACAGCTCTGCCAGCGAAAGAGATAAAGGATAAGTCTGACACTCCCCTTTCCTGACGAGCAGCCAATCGGTGCTAATTACACTGCAAGGTCTCTCCCCTCCCTACTAGTCCCCAGGTGCGGTGCTGGAGACAGGTGGGGGGGGGGGGGGGGAGGAGATAAACAGCACAATGTTAATAATCTTAAACTTTTAAGTTGCTATAAAGCCCCAGACATTACTTAAAGCAGATTTAAATACGGTTATGGTTAACATTTGTGTTTTTTTTTTTTTTTTTTTTTTAAATCTGGACAAATGGATTCTCCTGAGGGACAAGTAGATTGGGACACCGATTTAGTCCCTGGACAAGTAGTTTTTGAAAGAGAAAAAAAAAAAAAAAAAATTTTCCACACCCCCGCAGAGTAGGGAAAGGTTCTAACAGGACAAATAGGGAGGGTGAGTCTCCCTAATGGGGATATAGACAACAATAACAACCTAATAGGCGTTCTAATATCTCTCCACTCTTTCCAAAATTAAAAACAATTTGCCTTTTAGTTATACTTTTAAGTAGGTTTGCAAAGATACTAAGCATTTGCACAAGTACCCATGCAAATGCTCCAATACCTGAAACCTCATACATTTGCAACACGGTTTTAGCCCATCCAAAATTAAGGGGCTCAAATAACACTGCAAAAACTCGCTGTCCGAATCACATGCAGTTTACCTGCAGATGTGATGCGATTTGCAGTGTGATTTAAGCCATTCATTTTGTATGCGCTCAAATTGCACCGCAAAGGTATAGGTAATTGGTATTGGCGAGTACTCGAGAACAAGTATTGGTACTCGTACTTGCAGATGTAACAGTATCTGTGCAACCCTACTTTTAGGGAATGCTAAGGTTTAAAGCATCTCTATACAAAAAAAAAAAAAACTCAAGTGCTAGATTACTTTCCATTAGTTAAGGTCCATTGGGTTTTGATTCCCCCCCCCCCCCCCCCCCCGCCCCCATTTGATTTTTCTTTATTCGTACCCTGTATGATTTCCCTCCATACAACTTCTTATCCTGGAGTGACAATGTTTTCTGAATATCAGGCTGTCCTACGCAGCAGTATTGTCATGCAAGGGAGTGTGCTTACTGGGCTACGAGCCAACACGCTGATGCCCAATGTGCCTGCACCTTGAGATCCAATTCTTTTTCTTTTCTGAGATCCACCCATATAACCAAGTTCTGGCCATTCCTCAAGTGGTTGCCTGTGGCTTGCAGATGCCTTCTTGCAGTTAGATTCACCAGAGCGACTAAAGGACAATTTTGGTACAAGCTTTCCATTATGGTGTGCAGCATACCTGGTCCAGTACTTAATTCTGTCACTGTTCCAGCTCTCTTCACTGTGTAGCCCTGCCCAGAGCTGCACAGCCGCTTTTTCTTTTTTTCTTTTTTTTTTTTTCCCTTATTTGAAAGCATTCCTACTGACTTTCTCCTATGAAGAGCCATACCAATGGCAGCCTCCAGCCATCCTGCTGAGTGTGGCTCATACACAATGTAAGCCCATTTACTTACAAAACATACCGTAACATTTTGAAGAAACTCCTCTCTTTAATTTAGTTCTGTTGACTGTCAGAACAACTTGATATTTGAGTCAGGGAGGTACTGAAAGTTGCTACAGGTATGTGCAGGTGCCACTGGGTTCATGACAATCTACAGCTTTTTTGTGTGTTTAGGCCTCATTCACACTGGTGCTGCTTATGCCACTGAGCGTTTACCTGCATATAGGTGTGGTCCGTTTAGCTGTGTTTAGAGAAAATAGAATTCTTTGCTTCAAGGATCAGATTTTACACTCTAAACGCGTGTAAACTTGGTTAAACCTGCTTGAACACAGGATAATATCTTGGACTCAAGTTATGCTGCTTGGACAACATTTTGAAAAGCTAAATACAGGAGTGCCAGCATAAATGAGGCCCTAGGCTCCATGCACACCGGGCGTTTTAATAATGTTGGTAACGTTAGCTGTGTAAAGTCACGTTAAAAACGTCAGCTTTTCAACAGCGTTTTGTTCTCTTTTGCGTTTTCTAGGGTTTGTTTTTTTTTTTTTTTTTTTTTTTTTTTTTTGCTGCCAAAAAAAAAACGCCCGTACCAGAAAACGCTGATTACAGTCTGTGTGCATGGACACATAGGATAACATGCTGGGGGGTTTACTAGCTGTAGAAAGTAGAAAAAGTCAAAAGCCAAAAACATGAGATAGATATATACACACACCACTTAAAGGCAGTGTGTTTTTAAAAGTTGTGGTGTGCCAGGGTGTATGGCTGAAGAAATCAGCCATAACCCGTGTGTGGTGTTGTGTTTTTTTTTTTTTTTTTTTTTTTTTTTGTTTTTTTTTTCTGCCGATTGACAGCTTTCTGTTGAAAGCGGCTCTCCAGCCACAGGGTCACTTTCTGTAGCGGCGGGAGGGGATTCCCGGCCAGCTGAAGATGGAGGCGAAGAAAGACTCTATATGGTCTTTGATCGCCTCTATCATGATGGAGGACTGTAGCGATGTCATGGTGTCACATATGGTCGGTGGCGGAAATGAACAAATTTTTTCTTTTTTTAAAGCAAAAGTTTTTTTTTCATTCTTTGCTCTTAAAGGTAAAGAACATGCATATTCCTATTAAAAGGAATGTTTCCTTGAGGGACAATGTTACAAAAAAAACAAAACAAAAAACCCCATCCCTCCATGCTTGCGCACAGAAGCAAACGCATACGTAAATCTCTCACGCATATGTAAACGGTGTTCGCAGCACATGTGTGCGGTATCACCATGATCGTTAGAGCAAAAGCAATAATTCTAGTGCTAGACCTCCTCTGTAACGCTAAACAGGTAATCTGTAAACAATTTTAAAGTGTCCCTAATGGAGATTTTTAGGTACTGTAGTTTGTCACCATTCCACAAGTAGGTGCAATTTTAAAGCGTGCCATGTTTGGTATCTGTTTTTTTTTCGCTGTAACATCCTTTCATATTTTACAAAAAAAATACAGATTGATTTTTTTTTTTTTTTTTTAAATCATAAGTGTATTAAAAAAAAAAAAAAAAAAAATTATTTTTGCATTTGAAAAACATCTGCAAATACCTTGTGACACAAAATTGCAGCGATCGCCATTTCAGAATCAATTATTCTGTTTTTATATTTAATCTGTTCTTGACATGTTGATGTTACATCTTTCACTTGGATGATCTCAGTTGCACTGAATAAATACAGCTGGATAAAACAAAAACTGTGTCTGTCTTCATTTCAGGCTGCAAAGTAATAAAAATGACTATTCCTTTTTTTTTTTTTTTTTTTTTTTTTTTTTCCCTTTAAGCTCTACACTAATGAATAATATAGCGTCTTTGATTTCTTTAGCTGAATGGCCAAAAACAATGACTGGACTCCCTAGTACGTCAGGAACTACTGCAAGTGTTGTTATTGTGCGTGGAAATAAACTATATGTTGCCCATGTTGGTGATTCTGGCGTTGTATTTGGGATTCAGAATAGCGCTAAAGAGACTGTGAAGGCCTTGGAAGTGACGCAAGACCATAAACCTGAGCTCCCGAAGGAACGAGAAAGAATAGAAGGGCTTGGTGGCAGGTATTTGGTTTTTTTATTTATTTATTTATTTCCCTTCTACATCCAGTCCCTGGTCTGTTGGTGTCCCTCATTTTTAAATCAGAATTTACGTAGAATTATGTGTTAACCATAAAGGGAGCTTGTCATTTTACAGCAAAATAACGGAGTTAGATGACCAATATTGAAGCAATCAGTTGTCAGACTCATACTTGGTCTAAGATGGTGAGGTTAAATGTTTCTAAAACTAACCATTTAATTCATACACTGTCTGAAGAGATCAGTCTCCATCTGAGGCTTCCTTCAAAAGATATATCTGAATTATACAGTACAGGACTTGTATCCTGTTTGTATCCTGGTATAGACCTTGGGCTATGTATCGTTTACTTCACTGGCAAAAGGTTTCTGGGAATACCCCTAGGTACACCTTCCTATAACCCCATCAGCTCTTTGGGACACCAGTTTTTTCCTAGTGTTGGGTTACACAGCTCTTCTATGGAGCAGTTTCTAAACCTTCTCTTCCTTTTTAAACCCTTTGTTTTTTAGGCAAAACATTAAAATATTATGCTTTATATCTCATTGTAGCGTTGTCTGCCTCATTCAACTCTGACACTTCTGGTAAGATCCAACTAGTGGTGTGCTGAAACCCAAACTGAAAATACAGGATGCACTTGGCCGAAAACTGAAATGAACAGTTTTTTTTTTTTTTTTTTTTTTTTTTTTTTTGGTTTTTTTTTAATGTGGCTGACGTTTTTGCATGAAAGTCTATGGGACATGACTTTGCATGTGAGCTGCCTTGACAACCAAAACAGAGAAGCCATTATTGGCACATTTCTAAAATACCGATAACACTCTTTTCGGCCGATTTTATATTGGTGCATCCCTAGATCCAACATCGTATTGTCTCAGGGCATTTTCTTGATCAGTTACCCTCGATGTACATCTTGGGACCCAGATCCACAGGAGCAGGGCTGGCCTGTAGGGTTTTATTTCAGACACTGGATCCTGTGTTTTAGCAGTCATTTGACACATGGTGCAACAAGTGTAGTTAGCTGCAGGGTGCTATACTGGTCCAGGCCTGTGGTCTATTCCTATGGAACCCAGACCCTAAAGACCCCCTTTGGGGGTATGTCCACTGTGTCGTAAAGTTTTTGTTCTCCTTTGGGAACCTTCAGCGTGGATAAGAAAGTAGTTTTTTGTTTAAATATGACTGGGTTGTGCTTTTACATGTGGTATTTTATTCAGTTTAGTGTGTTATGCCCGTCTATAAAGGGCTCTATTGTGTTGGCAGTAGGTAGCATTTTTTTTTTTTATAATGTTTACCTTTTTGACTTTGGCAGGTTTTTCCCACACAGTTTTGCTGCTTGCGTGGTAATGTACTTTAGTTTCAACATGTCTACTAACTGATGCACTTCCTCCAAGATTGCAAAAAGCACTTTGGCCAATTTGTCAACTGTCTGCCTTTCTAGAGGCACAGACACGAGACATTGATCAGCAAATAGGTTATAGTGGCTGCTTTCCCAAGCATGTAAATACCCTTTCATTCTGCAGTTCACATTATTTTGTACCCCACAGGCGATCCCCCTCACTTAGCAATGGTTGAGACAAGGAACAGAAGAGCTGAGAAAAAGGGCCTAAATAGCACTCGTGCTGCAGACAGCACTGAGGAACACCAGCGAAATGCTCTGTGGTAGCTGTTCACCTGGAGTGTAGCAAGGCAATCTGTTGTGCACCTGAAAGGAAGCTGCCACATGGTTTTTACACTGGCAAAGCTTTTGAGGACACTGCGAGTACTTGGCTCAATTCATAGCACTTAGTGTGGATCCTGGTTGCTCTCATTTCTGATATCTGCATGAGTCAATTCTGTCAGTATTCCTCACAATCTGTGGTAATAGCCTGCCCCTTCTAGCACACAGCAGGTGAGTGACAGATTCAGATGTGCACATTTCTCAATGAGACTGTGTAGAGGTGGGGAGTGTTTATTCCCTCCACTCAGGTTTCAGATTGCAGCTTTCTGTTATGTGCTGTGCAGTATGTAACATCAGAGCCCCGCCTTTTGTAAACTTAGAAATACCATTGATCTCTGTATTTTAAAAGGCTCTTTGGTAGAGAGTGATGTAAATAAACAGGCACAACGTATGCGGTAGGATTTTGATTCATCACTGTTACATGAAGCTAGTTGCTTAAGTTGGCTTATGTAAGGGGCTAGTTTATTTCATCTTCAAATTTTGCATTCAACTCTTCTTCTAATACAACAATAAAAAGTGCACTGTTGAGAAAAGATTTTCCAAAAATCATTGCCAAGCTCTATCCAGAGGAATAAGAGGTCACAAAAAGGGGCCTGTTCCCATGGTTTTTCTTGTCTCAATCTTAAACCTATCATTGTAGTAACTGAACAATTTAAAATTTCCCTTCATTGAGGTTCTGAAGATAGGTAGGTAGTTTTGAGATGCTCCTAAAAGTACTTTACTTTTGTAGGCCCTGTTCTGCATACCAACAATCCTGTATTCCAGAACTGTACCTTTAAGAAGTATGAGATTATATATAAAAAAAAAAAAACTTCACTAATGTCTCCCTTTTTGTGTACCTGTCCTTGAATACAGTACTTCTGTTTTACAGGGGGCAAAAAAATGAATAGCCATAGCATTTTGGTTAGAAACCGAGGACACAGTGCCTCTATGTGTAAACTGTATAACAATTTATTGTTAAGTATGTTAGGCAATTCACATCTTTTAAAAGGTACACAGGCTCATAGAGCTGAGGTGTGGAAAAATGTCTATTGCCAGGTGTAGGAAGGGATCATGGGCCGATCAGCATGAGGCGCTACACGTGATGGGGTATGGATGCAGAAGCCCGACTGAGTTCCTGGTATGTCCGGAGCTGAAGGTGTAGGTGTCTTGCATCATCGGGATTCATGCTATCACAGCTTGCCCTATTGTCAACTGGATTACCCTCTGCCAGATCTGGAACTTATTCCATTTTACAGTAATCTACATGGACTGCTTGATCTATGCGCCTCCCTACTCTCCCTTTTTACTAGAGCAACCATTTGCCCTAGTATCTCGTCATTTGTTCTTTGAAAATGTAATCTCAGAATAAAACTTAGAATTGGTTTCTGTGGACAACTGCTCTAATTTAATTTTAAGGGAATGTAATTGTTTCTGACCTTGTTCCTTTTTTTTTTTTTTTTTTTTTTTTTCCCCCTGTAGTGTTATTAATAAATCTGGTGTGAATAGAGTGGTTTGGAAAAGACCTCGTTTAACACACAATGGTCCTGTAAGAAGAAGTACAATAATCGACCAGATTCCTTTCCTGGCTGTGGCTCGTGCCCTTGGTAAGCAAATCATGTATATGACATAGGTAATTTTCTTTGCTGTCCTTCCACACTCTTAGCTCTTCCCCTGGCTTATAGTAATCTGTTAAAATAATATTTTGCACAGTCCAGTTTACTGTTTTTATTGTATGGAGATTGTTTTTCTTACACACACATCATTAAGACAGTTGTGCTGTTCTGCTAGCCACAACAAACAGTACAGCATGCTGTAAATTTCTTGCATTTTACAGTCACATCTCAAGAGAATCTTGGCGGTTTTATGTTTAGGACTAAAACATGCAGTCTAAAAATGTACTCTTGCAAATATAAACTACTTCATATTTAGGGTTTATTCAGTCAGGTGCTACAATCTGTTCTCCATGGTGACCATTTTTGGTGTGTGTCCACCTGCAGCCCATAGACTGGGATACAGACTTAGCGACTACATAGATGCAGTCACATGTACACAGGTACACAGCACAATGTCTGCATTTTGAATCCTTGCGCTCGCTCCTGACCTACATGCTGTAGCCCGCTGTTGACTGAATCTGGATCACAGGAATACAAAACTAAGTGCTCTCTTGTGACCTACAGGAAAAGTATGGCCTGAAAACATTGGCCATACTACTTCTTTTAATGGCTTCTTTTAGATTTGATGTATGTATGTGTGTAATTAATTAATAAATAAAACATTTTTTATATATATATTTTATAGTGGCCTGGCCTAGTCCTGCTGTGGATTGTTTCAGGTTTAAAGAAAATAATTTTGCAAGGTACTAAGGAACTAATAAAGTTTTTTTTTTCCAGGGAGCAAGCAACAAAGGCAACTGGAAGACAGGCCAGAGAATTACTTAACTACTTTCCTGCTGCCCTATAGTAGAACTACTGCTGCAGGGTTGTGCAAAATTGTGTGTGTCTGTGCAAATGAATTTTGAAGTGCAGACTTTCAGCTGTAATTCAAGGGGTTGAACATACAAATAAAGTACAAATTTTAGGAACTGCAACCATTTTTATACACAGTCCCTCCATTTTCAGGGGCTCAAATGTAATTGGACAAATGAATTAAATGTTCATTTTTAATATTTTGTTGAGAATCCTTTATTGGCAATGACTGCCGAAAGTCTGGAACCCATGGACATTACCAAACACTGGCTTTCCTCCTTTCTGATGCTTTGCCAGGCTCTAACTGCAGGTGTCTTAAGTTGTTCTTTATTTGTGGGTCCTTCTTTTTTTTTTTTTTTTTTTTTTTTTTTTTTTTTTTTTTTTTTGCCTTTTAGCAAGTGAAATGCATGCTCAATTGAGTTGAGATCAGGTGATTGACTCAGTCATTGCAGAATATTCCACTTCTTTTCCTTCAAAAGCTCCTGGGTTGCTTTTACAGTGTTTTGGATCATTGTCCATCTGTACTGTGAAGCGCCATCCAATCAACTTTACTGCATTTGGCTGAATCTGGGCTGACAGTATATCTCTAAACAATGCAGAATTCATCCATCTGCTTCTGTCACTTCAATAAACACCAATGACCCAGTGCCACTGAAAGCAATACATGCCCATGCCATCACACTGCCTCCACCATGTTTTACAGATGACGTTGTGTGCTTTGGAACATGAGCTGTTCCAAGCCTTCTCCACACTTTTTCTTCCCATCATTCTGGTACAGATTAAATTTAGTTTCATCCGTCCCAAGAATGCTTTTCTAGAACTGGTCTGACTTTTTTAGATGTTTTTTTGGCAAAGTCTAATCTGGCTTTTCTCCAAACTTCTTCCAGGACAGCCCCTTGAGATGTATAGCTCCTCCCTCCGGGACAAGAAACACGTAAGCCCAATACTTTAAAGGTGAACCTCCAGGCCTCCCTCAGTTTTTTAGTGTTTCCTGCCGGAAGGCTAGGTACACGTTCGAGGAACCTGTGGGGGCTCTATGCTCAAGGGGCAGCCCGGAATAGTGTGGAGCTCCCGTTTTGGTACTTGCCACCTCTCCCGGCGCGATCCCTCTATGGAGAGTGGAGTGGGACTGCGCTCCAGATGCGCTTCAGTCCTCGGAGGAGAGGAACGTCGGCGAGGTGACCCTCTGGACTCCTGGGGAGTTTCGGGCTCTTACTGTCCCCCTCTCCGGCACAGACATTACAGTGAGTGCAGGGACTGCCGGGTGGGAGGAGGGTCAGACGCAATTTCTAAGGGCGGAACACTGCGCTCCAGTGACCGGAAGAACGGCGCAGTCATGTCATCGGCGGGCGCCAGGAGACGCTGGCTGCGGACCATGCCAGTCGGGACATGATGGAAGCTGGCCCCTCTAAGCAGGTGGACCCCTGTTCCTTTGGGGACTGGCTCCTCTCAGGTAGGCTTGGAGACTGTGTCCCTCTTGCTGACTCCTGGGTGGGCTTCTTTTCTTTCCCTTCCCCAGTCTGAGTGTAGGTGACAGTGGTGCACACTTCCCATTCTCTCCCAGCACAGTGGTGTTTGGTTGAGGAAACTGGGGGCTGACTGTCTTCTGTGTTGTGTGTGTCTTTTTTTTTTTTTCTTGCTTGTAGGTTAAAGGCCAGGACAAGATCCAGAGTCGGGCCCTTAAGAAGTGTGCAGCTTGCGCAGTTATGTTGGGTTCTACTTGGGAAAAACCCTTATGCCGCAATTGTGTGGATAGCCTGGTTAGAGATGAGTCTTTTACAGCCTGCTATAGGGTTCTCACCTCCATTAAGGATGACATGACGGCTACGTTCTAAATACAGACACTGCTGGGGCCTTGGACCCAGTCGGCCGGTATGGCAGTATCAGCAGGGGAGGACGAACCAGAAGAGGACCCTAGGTCTTTGGCTTCTTCGCAGGCGGGTTCGGGTTCAGAGGAGGACGATGGTGAAGCTAGCGCCTCCCAGAGGTTCCAGATACAAATTGGCCCTGGATGATGTGGACGACCTCCTTTTTAAAGCTATCTACGAAGCCTTAGAGATTGAGGAGAAGGAAGTTTGTCTAAGTATGACCTCATGTATCAGGGTCTACATGCAAAAAAAGACTAGGGTTTTTCCGGTCCATAGTTCCGTGGTTGATACCACTAAGCTGGAGTGGGAAAACCCTGAAAGGAAGACTTCTTTTTTTTTTTTTTTTTTTTTTTTTTTTTTTTTTCAGTAATCTAAAAATGTTCTTTCGAAGAAGATGGATCCCAGCCATGGAACAAAGTTCCAAAGTTGGACGCCCCATTATCCAAAGTTTCCAAGAGGATGGACTTGGCATTTGAGGATATGGGGTCCGTACAGATCCCATGGATAAGAGAGGGGAGATCTTGCTTCGCAAAGCCGGGAAATCATCTATTAGCTTTAAGCTGGCAGGATCGGCCACCTGTGTTGCCAGAAATCTTGAATACTGGCTTAGCCAGTTAGACACATCTCGAGGCAGGGACCTCCAGGCAGCAGATTCTAAAGTCCTTACCTTTACTGTTTTTAAAGAGAGGTTCCTCGCGGATGCCTCGGCCGAATCCGTTAAGCTAGCCACAAGGACTTCGGCCCTGGTGAATTCAGCCAGGTGGACGTTATGGCTAAAGACCTGGGCAGGGGACTCGGCGTCCTTTGTGCCTTGCCCTTTACAGGCGATAACCTTGTTGGTCCTGGTCTCGAGGGGGCCCTGGAGCCTACAGCCGCTTTAAAAAGAGAGCATTTCTGGTGAATAAGAAGAAATCTTACTCCAGGAAGGTTTTTTTTTTTTTTGTTCAAAAACGTAAGTCCAGCAGATCAAGGATGTTCAGACCAAGAAACATTGGACGACGCACAAAAATAGTGGAAAAGGGGGGATTTTATTCAGTCCTCCTCAAGGCCCCTCCAAGACTCAATGACTCAAGCGTTCCAGTGGGAGGAAGACTGGGGACCTTTCTCCTTCAGTGGGCTTCAATCTCCTCAAACCCATACATTCTGGACTTGATAGGAGTACAGGTTAGAGTTTGACTCCTGTCCCCTCACCAGGGAGTTCAAGCTCTGTTACGAGTTTCCTCCAGTGAGGCTGATCCCAGCAGTCCTGCAGAAATTTCTGTTAGAAAAAAATTTCATTCTGATAGCACCGTTCTGGCCAAAAAGGCCTTGGCTTTCTCTGCAATGGAGCCTGGTCTCTGTTCCCCCTTCCAGAGAGGGAAGATCTGATCTCTCAGGGTCCTGTGCTACACCCTTGAGTTTGGCAGCGTGGTTTCTAAAGAACAACTCCTGAAAACTCAGGTGTTTGCTGACAGCATTTTAAAGACTTTAGTGAGCTGCCGTAAACCAGTCACCAGAGCTATCTATGCTAAGGTCTGGAAAAAAATTAAACTCCTGGCTGCTAAGTAAGGGGCAGGGCCCTCCGCTTTCTCGGCAGTGTTGGATTTCTTTCAGGAGGGGGCAGATCAGGGGCTTTTGGTCAGCACCTTAAAAGTGCAGGCCTCAGCCCTTAATGTTTTCCTTCAGATCTCCCTCCAGCAGGATCCCTTTTTTTTTAAACAAATTTTTTCAGGGCCTTTTCCAAGTCCAGGCTGGCAGCGGTCAGGTCTTGTCCAATTTGGGATCTGTCTTTGGTCCTAAAAGCCTTGGCCCTTTGTCCCTTTTGAACCTCCTGGAGAAGTCTTCAGTTAATTTTTTGACTCTAAAAACTTTTTTTTTTTTTTTTTTTTTCTTTCATGTAGCAATCACGTCAGCCCATAGGGTGCAGGCACACTTTCCATTAGGGAGCCCTTTTTGCCTGTTTTTGAGGTCAGGATTGTGCTCAAAACAGATCCGGGATTTCTCCCCAAGGTTTCCTCCTCCTTTCATAGGTCTCAGGATATAGTCTTGCCGACCTTCTGTTCTACTCCCGTAAGCAGGGAGGAGGAAAGATTAAGTTTATTGGATGTTAGAAGGAGCCTTTTGGTCTCTTAGTAGATCCAGAGAATTCAGGAATTCGGATTCTTTTTGTTTTTTTTGCAGGGTCACAGAAGGGTTCCAAGGCATATAAGTCCACCATAGATAGGTGGATTAAGATGGCTATCATGGAATCGTATATTTTAGTCTATTAGAAATTCCTCCCCTGTTTTTGTTTAATGCACACTCCACTACATACTTTTTATGAAGCATTATCGCCTGGATCTCCTTTCTAGCGAGGATCAGGCATTTGGGTGCAAAGTCCTCCAGGCAGTAGCCCCGCCCTAGTCGGTATGTTCTTGATTATTGTCTCAAGGATCTGTCCTGGAAGACATTTGAAGAAAACCAGAGTTGGGCTTACTGGTAATTCCTTTTCTACGAGTTTTCCAGGACAGCCAGGATTTCCCACCCCAAGGATGTACGGTAATGTATATTTTTTACTTAATTGGTTATGTCCTTTTCGGTGTTTTCCTGTGGTTCTTGAGTAAAACTGAGGAGGGAGGCCTGCCTTTAAAGTATTGGGCTTACGTGTTTCCTGTCCCGGAGGGAGGAGCTCTGTCTCAAGGGGCTGTCCTGGAAGACTCGTAGAAAAGGAGTTACCAGTAAGCCCAACTATGGTTTTCTATTCTTCAGGCTTATGAATGGTTTGCACCTTGTGTTGAACCCTCTGTATTTGCTCTTGTGAACTCTCCTCTTGATTGTAGACTTGGACAATGATACACCCACCTCCTGGAGAGTGTCCTTCACTTGTCTGGATGTTGTTAATGGGTTTTTCTTTACCATAGAGAGGATCCTGCGATCATCCACCACTGTTCTCTTCCATGGACGTCCATGTCTTTTTTATGTTGCTGAGCTCACCAGTGCGTTCTTTCCTCAGAATGTACCAAACGGTTGATTTGGCCACTCCTAATGTTGCTGCTATCTCTCTGATGGATTTGCTTAGCTTTTGAAGCCTTACAATGGCCTGTTTCTCTTGCATGGACAGCTCCTTTGCATTTGGAATCTACTGCTGTGAACCTACATCATGAGTTCAAACACCACACTTGGAATCAACTCCAGACCTTTTACCTGCTTAATTAATGAAGAAATAACGGAGTAGCCCACACCTGGCCATGAAACCGCTTTTGATTCAATTGTCCAATTACTTTTGGTCCCTTCAAAAAGGGGGATGGCTATTCTTAAGAGCTGTAATTCCTAAACCCTTCCTCCAATTTGGATGTACATACCCTCAAATTGAACCTGAGAGTGTGCACTTTAAGCCCTTATCCATTATATAACTATAGCGTGAATATGTTTTGGTAAAATATCTGGAAAAAAAATCTAAGTGTGTGTGTGTCAGAGTTGTATCCGAACGCATCTGAGCTAATCCCTAGTGGCTTAGAACAGTGCTGCTATCAGTTTGTTATGGATGTATGTGGCTTGCAGAAGTGCTATGAAAGTGCATGTGGCTGGACTTGTTAAAGCAGTATTATGTAGCTTGCAACAGTATTTGCATATGTGGTTGATAATAGTGTTTGTGATGGTGTCTAACAGCACTATTTTATGAAAATTTATAGTATGTATAAGCATGAGTTAAAGCGTAGCTCCACCTAGAAGGGGAAGTTCTGCTTTAAGCCATTGTCACCTTGCGGGGGGGGGAGCGTGTACCTGAATTTGACAGGAACCTGCTCCCACTTCCGCTGCGACGACGCCTAGGCGATCGGAAGCAGAAGTTGTCCCCCTCCCTGTAGTCTTCTGGGACCTGTCACATGTCCCAGAAGACTAAGAGGCCATTCACAAAGTGCAGCACTTCTCGTGCATGCTCAGTGGGCACCCAACCAGCCATCCCCTTCCCTAGAAGGAAGCTGAGATGAGACTGTCTTACCTCAGCTCCCTTCCTTCCCTTCTAGGGAGGGGGGTGGCTGGTTGGGTGGGTTCAGGAGGGTCATTGCGGGAGGAGCACTGGGGTACCTTGGGAGGTGCTCTCAGGGATTTGTTTGTTTTTTGGGGGGGGGGGGGGATAGGAGGGTTGTTGGGGTCTTTTGGGGGTGTTTGTGTTTGGAGGGGGGGGGGGTAAGGTTGGTTTCCATAGGGGAGGTGCAGGTGTGGTATGCACACAAAGGACACTTTTTTTTTTTTTTTTTTTTTTTTTTTTTTTTTTTTTTTTCGATGTTTATAGTTAATCAGACAACTCTTTGCTACAGGTTATCAGTACGGCTTATAGTTTTCAATGAACTTCCACAGCGCTGTGGAGCTGGAGCGCCGTGGTAGTTCATTGAAGCTTCCTGTCTGCTATCCTGTACAGCAAATTGATCTTCTGACAAGTCTGCAGGAGACCTCCATGGCATCAGCAATCTACTGATCGCTGGTGCAATGCTTTACAGGCTCCTTTTTTGGACAAAAATTATGGAGATATATATAATTTTTTTTTTTTTTTTTTTTTTTTTTTTTTTTTTTTTTAACCTGCAAAAAAATGTGCATTTATTATTTTAGGCCAAAAAGTGAACTTATCCTTTTTAAGGACAGAAAATGTTGTTGGACTTACCAGTTTGCATGTTTGTCTGTAACAAGGAAAACTGCGTGAACGCCTGTTTTTGCTTTTCAATCTTACCCCCCCCCCCCCCCCCCCCCCCATAAAGTAAATCTGCTGGGTAGGGTAGTAGTAAGCAGGTTCTGATGCTATGCAGAAAGCTTTGTAAATATTTACTAGTGGCTTAAGTACTAAAGTCCATTTGACTGACTGTGTCTTGAGCATTTAATTAGTCGTGCATCGAAATGAAAATTCTGGACCAAAACCGATAATTCAGAATGCACTTGGCCAAAAACCTAAATTGACTTTTTTTTTTTTTTTTTTATAATTGTATTTGACTCCTTATTTAATTAATATCATGAATTTTTTAAATGAATATGAATTTAAAAAATAAAATTCAGTAACTTTTAAAATAACATGTATTGAAAGTAACACAAAACAAATTGGACAGAAATTAAAATTAAATATGTCTAAAATTAAAAAACTTAGAGGCATTGAAGTCAATTGGGGGGGGGGGGGGGGGGGGGGGGGGGGGGGGGGGGTTGCTTTGAAGTCAGTTATGATCGGCATCCCTTCCTTCTTTTCAGTCTCATCCAGCTGCTGCATGTGGTGGGTTTTTTTTGTTTTGTTTTTTTTTTTTGCCTCCTATTTAAATGATGCACATTTTACCTTGGGAATCGTGCAGTTTTGTTTATGTGGACAGAGCAATTTCTTTTGGAAAGGCTCATGCCCCCTAATTTTATCAAAAACCCATTATGTGCATCAATACTGCAATGAATTGGTTTGCTATTAATTGCATAGACCAAGTGTACTTTGAAGAAGAAAAATGTTGGTTGCTTTTGAAGTCTATTAATTTGTCTACAGTTCACCTTATAACCAATGGTGTTTTGTTTTCTGAATCAATGCTAAGGCAATGAAAAAAAAAAAAGTGTCTCACACCACTTGAGAGACACCAGATATCTCTTGGGATATACTGCCACCTATAGGAACCTAGTGCCAATCAGAAAACTATAGGTCAGCCCAGGATAACCCTTCTATTGTCGGCATGCTTCATATTATTTTTTTTATTTTTTATTTTTTTGCTAGTATTGTAAGAGTGTGTACTGTATGTCTTTTCAGCTGTGTAAAATACTAACCTATTTTTGCTAGCACTAATCTTTCTGTAAAATACTAACCTATTTTTGCTAGCACTAATCTTTCTGTAAAATACTAACCTATTTTTGCTTTCACTAATCTTTTAATTTTTTTCTTTTTTTTTTTTTTTTTTTTTTTTTTAAAACATGAGACTGTGATATGAGCAAATTTGTAATTCATAGTTTAACTGCAGTTGGAACACAAAGTAGACCTGTTGTGGTTGCTTTTCATAGAAATTCTTGTGATTTTATAAGAATCTAAAACAAGGGAAGGATAACTTTTAGGTTAAAATGTTTCGCCTACATTTTATAACCTATTCAGTGCAAGCATATTTAACTGTTTTATGTTGTGTGACTAACTGTTCTCACTAGTCTCTGTCCTAGTGCTAATGAAACACATGATGGCCTGTTAAGCTGCAGGTATGTTTCTGGACATGTGTACAGATCCTCCTAATGAGCAACTATACTAGTGTTTTTAAAGTGGAACTTCACCCAGAAGGGGAAGTTCTGCATATTTACATCCTTTCCCCCTTTTTCTGTAGAAGTGGCCCTTTTTGGGAGGGGACAGTAGGAGGAGTGGGTATTTGGTTTTGACAGGTACCCCACTTCCACTTCTGGTCAGACCAGCTCCTGTGATCTGGGCGCAAGTTTGGCCCCCCTTCCACACATCACAGCTCCAAGAAAACTGCAGGACCACACACAGTGCAGAGCAGCTTGCGCGTACGCAGTGAGAAACTAGGAGTGAAGCATTTGTAGCTGCTGACTTTTAATTTTTTGGGGGGAGACTGGAGCTCCTCCTTTTTAAGTTGCAATATATGGTCACTGTAATTCAGGTGATTTTCCTTTTTTTTACTATGGACGAAATGTTCACTTTCTTGCAATATAGATTTATATAATCTTAAATCTTTGAATTGTGGAGACAATAATGGATTAATGTTATATCATTTTTCAGGTGATTTATGGAGTTATGACTTCTACAGTGGGGAGTTTGTGGTGTCTCCTGAACCCGATACAAGTGTGCACACAATTGATCCTCAGAAGCACAGGTTTATCATTATTGGCAGTGATGGCCTTTGGAACATGGTCTCTGCACAGGATTCAGTTTCATTGTGCCAAGAGCTGGAGAAATCCTGCGCATATGTGAGTAAATATTTTTGTTAACCAATAAGTATCACTTCATTTATTTACATTTTGTGCCCTTAAGCTGACCATACATGGATTGAAATTAGGTCAGTTCAGCAGGGAGTGGCTGAATTTTTGATCCACATGTGGCTACTGTGGTTGTTGTAAATTGACCCCTTTCCACCTAACGGTCAAACAAATTTAATGCATAAGCACAATTTTTTGCAACTTTGAAATGTGTTAGCAAAACTGTACATATCACCACAACTACTTTTGTGCATCCAGGTGGATTATACCTTGTTTTTTTTCATGACAGATTGGGCTTTCATTTGGTGGTAAATGGTAATGGATATCTCCTGATGATGATGATGATATTATCATTTTTTTTTTTTTATCAAAGGAAAACTGGCCCAAAATAGTAAAAAAAAATCTCTAACTGTATATTTCTTGCTACTACCATAACTTGTACCACCAAAAAAAAAACAACCCAAAATAATTTCTCCTGCCCTTGATGATTGCAGCGATAATACATGTGTATATTAGTTGTTTGTACCCTTAGTACAGCCCAGAAACAATAGTGTGCATTTTGCTGCTTTTTTTTTTATCCTTCCACTAACTGACATATACTAAAAGATACACAAATATGCAGCCCCATTAAAAAAATCCCAGTTCGTGGGGCTGCATATTTGAGTATGGTGTGAAGGGGTTCATTTGTTCAATTGCCCTGTTGGATGAAAGCTGCTTGATCAGCGCTATAGGCTGGAGCACTGATCTGTGTGTTCTGACAGCAGGGAAGTCTCCCCACTGTCAAAATACAATAGCACAGCAGAGAGGATTCCCCATTCCCATAATAAAGGAGCAGCCGCTCCATATTTGCTCTAAAGGCGCACATTTTATCCTTTTTTTTTTTTTTTTTTTTTTTTTTTCTTCTTCCTGGGGAAAAAAGTGCATCTTACGGAGCGAAAAATATGGTATTATGGTCCCTTTAGTGACTGAGGGTAAAACAAATGTTTAATGTCTGAACACAATTTTGACACTTATGTAAAAATGGACATAATGTCACAAACACTATGTGTGTCCAGGTAGATCACGTAACTTTTTTTTTTTTTTTTCTTCCCTTCTTCTGGACAAATTGGGTTTTCATTTAGTCGTAAATGGCAATGGATATCCCCTGTTGTAGTTTTTTTTTTTTTTTTTTTTTCTTTTTTTTTAATTTTAGCCGTATGTTTCTTGCTACTACCATAACCTACCACTAAAGAACAAGCCAAAATAAATTTTCTTGCTGCTTATGATTGCAGCGATACCACTTATGTGTGAGCTGTTTGTACCCATAGTATAGCCCAGAAACAATAGTGCGCTTTTTTTTTTTTTTTTTTTTTTTTCCCCTGCTTCCCCCAACCTACCTAAAACGTGCTGATACTAATTTCAAAAATGCTTATAAAAATACTGCCCAAAATATACTTACCATGACATTTAACCTTTACTTGACTCAAACACTAACCACTGGTTAGTCTTCACTAACCTAGATCAAATCTTGATCTAGCTATTTTTGTATTTTGTATTTTATTTTTTAAACACTTCTTCTTTCTTTTTTTTTTTTTTTTTTTTTTTTATTTACATTTTTCTCCCTGCAACAAGAGTGAGATGCAATGTATCTTTCTCTCTATTCAGAGAAAACACGGGAGAACTACACAGTGACCACTGTGATAGCCAATTGGATACTTTCACAGCGATCAGATGACCCAGAATCGGGGGTCTTGGGTCCTGATCATTAGTAAGGGACTTGGTACTCCCGGTGAGAGCCTGGTCTTTATGTGTGGGATTTTATACATCACTGCACTCCCAGCACAAATGCCCACTTCAGTGAAGTTGCATATGTGTACTGTTGTTGGGAAGGGGTTAAAGTGTGTTTTATCATAGGCTACTAAAGGTGGTGGTTAGTATATTTTCACTACTAAAACTGCTAGTTATTTTATAATGTGGTGATCAATTGGAAAAAAACAGTGTAAATTACACATGTAGTAGTACTTGCAAGTTAAAAATAGTGTAGTATGACCAAAGGACACACAAATGGAGCTTTGTGTAATCACACGGTAAGCAGGGGCATCTGTAACAGACAGCATAATGTCAGTGTGCAGTTCATTGGTATTGCAACTCAACACTTTTGGGAACGGCATTCTGACTGCACTTCTATGGATTAAAAAAAGAACAATTTACACCATTGTACAGCAGCAAACAGTGTAGCTGACATCCTAATATATATACCCAGTTGTATTATATTAGTATAAATGTAGAACCAGTTGTACTCCCAACAAAATCATAAGGCTGCTGTAACGTTTTGATGTTTGGTACTAGTAACTTTACAGTGATTTATGAAGGCAGAATATTTTTTTTACCTCAATGCATTCTCTGCATTAAGGTAAAAAAAACACCTTCTCCCCCCCCCCCCCCCCCCCCCCATACTTACCTGACTCTGCTCTCGTGCAGCTTGTTGGGCTGAAAGCAGAGGCTGTCTCGGCGCGCTCTCCTCATTGGCTCAGATACAGCAGTGGGACAAACACAGCCAGCAAGGAGGGAGCGGGGCCAAGCCACCCTCTGAGTCTTAGCGACACCGAGTCTGCTTGGCTGTGAGCACACACGACTGCCCCCATAGCAAACTACTTGCTATGGGTGCACTTGGCAATTGGGAGGGACCAGGAGCACTGGCAGGGGACCCCAGAAGAGGAGGATCGGGCCTACTCTGTGCAAAGTACCTTTCCGGTCACTTTAAAGGATAAGTTCACCTTTTGTAACATGTTACTCTTGCAGCTTCCCCCCGCAATGTCACCACTACGTGCTTTCAGTAAGCTTACCTGTCCAGTTGTGTATTCTGTGTCGAAACTTGTGAGAGGTAAACCATTTTCATATTCTAACCATTTGACTTTTAGGGAGAATGTGGGCAGTCGTGTGCAAAAATACTGGTAAATCGGGCACTGACACAGTGGAGACAACGCATGTTGCGAGCTGACAACACAAGTGCTATTGTCATTCGCATCTCTTCTGATTCAGAAAAACATAGATGTTGTGCTAATGAGGAGCTGCTAATAAATTTGTCTGAGAGACCACGCTACAATAGCCAGGACATGTACCTTATGTCAACATCACCTTGTTCCACACCACCAGTCAAGGTAATAAATGTGTAAAATGATATTCCTCAAGGACACTTGGATTTGAAACAATTTTTATACCTATTTATTTTATAGAAAAAAAAAAATTCTAACAGTCTTACTGTAAGTATGGTAAATACAGTGTTTTTAATGCTGCTTTGGGAAGACTTTAAATCTTTTATCTGAGCATGTGGTTGATCACATTATGAACAGTTTTGTACCATAAAGGGAACTGATTTTTTTGTGTAGTTTTTTTTTTTTCAGTGGAAAAGAAGTATTATTTATGCTTTTGATAAATGATTACATATTCTAAATATGGTACTGGTAACCTCTGGGTTTTTAAACTAACATATATAAATAACACTGAAGTAATCTTCTCTATAAAACAGAGTATTTAGGGCCAGTTCACACCAAAACGCAGTGCAGTTTAACACACTGCAGGTGAACATATTGCCTTTGTGATTTGCATGGGTTAATGGCACCCTAGAACTGGACTGTGTGGGAACGTTTACATTTTGGTGTAAACTAGCCCTTACGAGTTAATAATTTAAAGTGTGGTAATTGTTAACACACTTTTTAGTGGATGAAGTGCAGTTCATCTAATAAACTGTACACCCTAGGGGTAATGAGATTTTCCATTGTTTTTTTAAATATTTTTTTTTTTTTTTTAAGAAAAACTTTTGTGTGGTGAAATGCTTTGTATGAATTAAATGTCTTTCTTGACACCGCTATATGGAATACTACTTTTTTTAGAAAGCTTATCTTAAATTTTAAAGCAATATTAAACCCAAAAATGTAATATTGCAGAATAACAATCATTAGATTTGGTGGTTGCATTTGTTTGTTTTTTTTTTTTTAGTTTGTTTTTGTTTTTTCTTGGTGCTCTGGCCAGTAAAATGCATCCTGTATTATACAGACAACACTCTGGATGAAGGAGCACAGTGCAGATTTAGATGGCAACTGTAATTAATTGAAATTAAATGAATCTGAACTGCAGCTAATAAGTTATCAGTTGCAGCAACTTTTTTTTTTTTTTTTTTCTCCATTTGGGATCAAAGTTTTTCATAAATAAAAACTGACCACTTTGAGTACCCTTGTCAGTGTTAGGCCTCATGCACACAGGGTGTTTTTGTAGCCTTTTTTTTTATTTTTTTTTTTTATACCTGCTTGCAAACAGCTCTCCATGTTTTGTGTCCATGCATATGTAGACTTTTAGACTACTTTTAGTAGCAGTAATGTTTACCAGCATGAAAGAAAAAAATCCAGGACCAGTGTGTCCAGGGGCAGCAGCATTTTGGCAGAAAAAACACGATGCGGCTAAACGCGTCTTAACGTTAGGCTCAATTAGCGCTTGAGAATTCATTTCATTGTCCACAATAAAAATGTATTCTGGCCACCAAAATTAACGAACACCATATTACTTGATGCTTGTAAAAGTGTTAGATACTTTTGCAAGTGTCAGCGGTTTTTTCTGCTAAAACGCTGCGTGTGTGTGTGTGTTTGTGTGTGTGCGCCTGTGCATGAGGCCTTAAATGGTCTGTATCATCTCTGTAACTGCAAGACTGCTTTTCCTGTTGAAAAACAGACTTAATGGCTGCATTTAGTTTTTTTCTTTTTTAGGCTTGCTTCTAAGAATTGGTAGCTGCAGTATAAAAAGTATTTGATTTTGGGTTTAATACTGCTTTAACATTTGTCTCAGAATTTAGTACTGTATTTAAATTAATTACTGTTACTTTCATCCTTTTTATGATAGGCTTTCTCTTTAAAATCACATAAATGCTTTGGCTCTAGGGGGTTGGTCCTGATGCCATGGAATTTCATTGAGTGAGCTGGGTATTCTTTTGGGTGCTGGAGGAGTAAGCAAAATCAGTGTTATCTAAGTGGCTACTTTTAGCTCTCTGTGAATTTAATTTTCAATCCGTATTATTTAATGTATGTTTTCTTAAAAAACAAAGCGGTTTTAATATTTTATCATGATAGTATGAGGAGATTTGTTGTTACATCATGATTAGTGTCTTCAAAGCAGAACTAAGGTGTGGTTTGTTTTTTTTAATGCAAACACAAAACACGGGTTTATTTACTAAAGCTGGTTCACTCAATCACCTGCACCTGTGCATTGTAGCCAGTCAGCTTCTAATGCAGGCCATAGATGGGTCGAAAATCGGCCGATTTTTCTTTTAAAAAAACGAACAATCGGTCGTTCAAGTGGCCGACGTTACCACCAATGGTAAAAAAAATCGGCCGATTTTCATCCCGTCTACAGCCGGCAAAAAGTGTCCCTGCAGAGAGCTCCGCTATTTCTGACAGTTCTCTGACAGTTCCTTCACATTTACAGCGGTTGAAACATTGTATCTATTTGTTTCCATTTAGGATACAGATGTTTTTATTCGGAAACAAATGGATACAATGTTTCAACCGCTGTAAATGTCAAGGAACTGTCAGAGAACTGTCAGAAATAGCGGAGCGCTCTGCAGAGACACTTTTTGCTGGACTGGAATTCTTCTTATTTTCATCCTACTTCTTCTTCTTCTTCTTCATCCTCCTCATCCTCTTCTTCTTCTTCTTCATCCTTCTTCTTCTCCTCATCCTCTTCTTCTTCTTCATCCTCTTCTTCTTCATCCTCATCCTCCTTCTTCTTCATCCTCATCCTCCTTCTTCTTCATCCTCATCCTCCTTCTTCTTCATCTTCCTCATCCTCCTTCTTCTTCATCCCTCTTCCTCTTCCTCTTCCTCTTCTTCATCCTCTTCTTCATCCTCTTCATCCTCATCTCTCTTCATCCTCATCCTCTTCTTCTTCTTCTTCATCCTCATCCTCTTCTTCTTCATCCTCTTCTTTCTTCTTCATCCTCATCCTCTTCTTCATTCATCCTCTTCTTCATCTTCTTCTTCATCCTCTTCTTCTTCATCCTCATCCTCTTCTTCATCTCTCTTCTTCATCCTCATCCTCTTCTTCATCCTCTCCTCTTCTTCTCCTCATCCTCTTCATCATCCTCATCCTCTTCTTCATCCATCCTCTTCTTCTTTCTTCATCCTCATCCTCTTCTTCATCCTCATCCTCTTCTTCATCTCATCCTCTTCTTCATCCTCTTCTTCTTCTTCATCCTCTTCTTCTTCTTTCTTCATCCTCATCCTCCTCTCTTCATCCTCATCCTCTTCTTCATCCTCTTCTTCTTCATCATCCTCTTCTTCATCCTCTTCTTCATCCTCTTCATCCTCTTCTTCATCCTCTTCTTCATCCTCTTCTTCATTTCCTTCTTCATCCTCTTCATCTTCTTCTCCTCTCATCCTCTTCTCCTCTTCTTCATCCTCTTCTCTCCTCATCCTCCTCTTCCTCATTCTTCCTCATCCTCTTCTTCATCCTCATCCTCTTCCTTCTCTTCCTCATCCTCTTCTTCTTTTTTTTCTTTTTCTTCCTCTTGCAGGTCACTGCTCATGCGCAGATTTTTTTTATCGGTAAAAAATCGGCCGATTAGCCCATTAATGCCGCGAAGATCGGCCGATTTTTTTCCAACTTTACCAAAAAAAAAAAAATGGCCAAAATCCCGAAAAACGGCCGACCAAATCGCCCACTAACGATCCGAAAATCGTCCGATTTTTTTTCGGCCGATTTTCGACCCATCTATGGCCTGCATAACTTCACCTTGTTAAATTAAACTTTAGCGATAAACCTGGAAACTGGTTTGTATGCAGAAGTTCATGAGAGAGTGAACAGTTTTAGTAAATAACCCCACTGTCTTTTTCAAAAGGTTACTCAGCTGCTGTGGAGGCATATCAGCATTTCCTGGAATTCTGACCTTTTGGGTACTTTCACATGTGGTGGACCTGTTTAGCGGATCTGCTTGCTCAGCAGGGAATATCCCTACTGATCCCCTGCTGAGCAAGCGGATGACAGGTCTGTGTACACTCCACTGCTACAGAGCAGCTCTCTCTCCTGAACGGGCGGTTGGATGTCTGTTTCCATCTGACGTGACTTGACCTGATGGACAGAAGAAGAATTGGATCCCCATCTGTTCCTTTTTTGCGGATCGAATCGGATTTGATGTTGGCAGGTTTAAAAGGGACACATGTCAGTTTACACCCGCTGATCCATAGAGGATAATGAAGGTTCCTATCAGGTGTGCCTGAAAAACAGGCAGGCATCCTCGATCGGAGCGTCCATGTGAAAGAGGCCATTCTGTTTCAGCTCTGCAAGCTGTACAGCGCAGATGTCATAGGTTTTTTTTTTTTTTTTTTTTTTTTTTTTTTTTCCCACACATCCCTCTTAGTATTCTCCTATATTTGTATTAGATGCAGAGCAGCACTGTACCAAACAATCTGGCTCCTCCAGTCATGTCCTGTGTTCCTTCTCATGTGACTGACCGTAGCATTTAAAAGCACAAATAGCTGGTGAAAGAACAAGAGGATTTGGGTGGGTATAGAAACACCCAATCACACATCAAATTTCTGACAAAGAATGGTAATGGTACCTGCAAAAAACTCTGTGCAAACTGCATCACTTCCTCTAGCTGGAAGCATCACCTTCACTCCCACAATGCTGAAGAACAAATTAAGAAAGATGGCATATGGAAAAATTAGAAGTCTCTAGATAATTAAAATGTGTAAATGATGTGCATGTATACTTTCAAATCTGTGTAACATTTTGAAACTGTTTGCATTAAAGAAAAAGGCACTTTAATTCTGCTTTTACTATTTTCTAGTGTGTTAGAAATACTGTGATTTGTGTATTTTTTGTCCATGAATTTAAAGGCGATTGGTTGGTTGTAGTTTGAGATGGTTTATTCCCTATGTGAATTCTCTTGTGTGTGTACACACACACACACACACACACGTGCATTTTATTACCAGGTTTGGCACTTTGCATTGCATAATAAATGTAGGGTATTCACATATAACTTTGTTACTGTAGGTCTGCTTTAAAGTGGGTGGCAAAAAAGTAGATGATACAATGTATTAAATGTTTGTATTTTGTAATATGCAGAATACATCTAGTCATGTGCAATTTTTATATATGCTGTGAAAAATTTGGTCACTGGCTGAGCATCTACATAAGCTGACAAGTAATGTCTTGCCTATTTATTGTTGCACTAATAAAGGATCATGGATTCAGATACTTTTTGTGAAAACATTGCAAAGAAAATAACCATTTATAGTATTCAGATAATAAAGTGTTTCCACAAAGACTATTGTTGGTTTTTTTTTTTTCTTTTTTCTTTTTTTTTTTTTCTCCCACCCTACTGGGTTTAGCTGAATATTGCTTTTTTCCAAAACATGTTGCCTGCTGGTGACATTTTGTGACAAAGTTTTAAAATCAGTGCAGGTTGCCAATTTTTGACTTTCTTTAAAAGTGATATTTTAATGGTACTGGGATTTACTGGTGGGTTTTTTTTTTTTTCTTCTAATGAGTGTCTGTTTATTTTAGATACTGGAAGATGATCCTTGGTGGAGACTTACTCTATCTGAGCCTCTTCCATCCCTTATTCGCCGAAATGCCTTCTCTGATAGCTGTAGCAAATGGGGCTGTGAGTCAGGCAAATCTAAAGCACTTGCAAATCCTTCACGTCCTTTAGGGGATTCTGGAAAGCCTGAAGATAGTGAGTGGGCCAGTGGATCTCCAAACATCTCCCCTTCTATATATCTCTTCCCTGGCACCTCTTCAGCTGTTGGTTCAAAGGGCACTAAAACAACAAGTAGTAATAGTCCAAAAACTGAAATAGAAAAGTTATCATCTTTGAAACGGACACTAGAGGAGTCCAACAGTGGACCTGCAGTGAAAAAACCAAGACGGACCTTAACTAGGAGTAGCAGTGTGCAGCCTGAAGGCCCATCTACCACACCGAAAAGGAGAAGTACGGAAAGGGTGATAATGAGACGCAGTCTTAGAGGCCAGAAGAAACTTGGACATCCTTTATTACATGAGCATAGAAAAAGTATATGTGTGTGTTGAATGTGCATTAAATTATTTATGCATTCCTGTTCAAATGTCACTTAACTGTTTGCAAACTCTACCGAGCCCATCACTTGTATTGATAAGTACTATTAAGTAGGCCACAATCTCTCCTTCCAGATGTAGGCTTTTTTGGATTTCCAAACTTTTAGCTGGTTGTGGTTTTAAATGGTTAACATTTTTAAACTTTTTTTTTCTTTATAAATACGTGTATAAATACATACATTATGTTTAGATCATGTTGGATTCAGATAATTTTAAAATTGTACATATGAATTATGGATGTGTTGTATAAATTTTATATACTTCAGTGTATAAGTTAAGGTATCAACTGTCATTATGTCATTGGAGCTCTGAAGAGGGCAGTGTTTAAGCATTGTGTGTTTAGATATAAGTGTGGCTCATGTCTGAATTATGTCAAGGGAAAACATAAAAAAAAAAAAAAACCCTCACTAATCTAATGCATAATTGGTATTGGGAACAGATTTTAACACAACGAATTTCAGTTCTAGAATTTGCTTTTAATTGAGCTTCTATTTATTGAGACATAAGTGGATCATGAATATATATATCTCTCCTCAAATGTGGATAAAAGTATAAAGTAAAACAATTTCCCATGTGGAGAAAGCTGATAGGGGTGTTTTTTTTTCTTCCCCCTCCCTTCCTTTCTTTTGCTTCTCCTCCTCCTTCATAGCCTACTTGCCCCTTCTCTACGCTTACATACCTTCCCTCTGCTCCTCTGTTTGTCAGCCCAACCTCTTTGAATGATCCAGTACTTATGAGTATATGGGAGCATGCCCCTATGTAGCGTTTCGTTCCCCTGAGGCAGTGGTGCTTTGGCCCTATCCGTACTGCAGTGTGTGGTAGCAGAGAGTGAGAGAGGTATGGGTAGTTGAGGACATGAACTATAAAAAGCAATTACTTGGTCATCACCGGGGTCACTTTAATTTGGCGCAGTAGAATTCTTCTAAAGACACTAAATGTGCCCATGGGCTCAAGCCTTTATAAACAAAGGGCCAATTTATTGTCCTTCACACTTTAGCTGGTTCGTTTGGGCGGTGCTGCTGCTGGACTGGCTAGTGGGAATGAAAATTTTACTGGTATTAGTTGGAGTAAACATCACATTTGGATGTAAGGGTAGGAACAGTGCTCTATTCCTTGTGGCAGTGGGGGAAAATTGTATTCCAGCGTTTGCTAGGTGGCAGGATAGTGTATCGTATCAGTGGAAATATTAGTGCTCCAAGACCTGGAAAAAGGGCTGCAGTTTGGAGACTACTGATCTAGAGGATGGGTGCCTGTCCTTTGACAGAAGATGGGTGCCTGTCCTTTGACAGAAGATGGATGGTGGCCAGATTGGCTGGTGATAAAGCAAATTGCAAGAAATTTCTCCCCATATGAGGTCAGTTGAAAATGGGCAATTCTAAAGTCTTATCTGAAGGGGGGGGGGGGCACATTTTCAATACCCTGCTAGTTTTGAGCTCGAAGATGGTTCCATTGCTGGTAAATGTGTGCTTTTCATGCCCACCTGCCCTAACAGTACTCTGGATCTATTTATTAAGGGCTTAATCACACTAGTCTGTTGTGGTAACACTTGGCACTGCACTTGCACCCTGCTGCCGGAAAGGGGCGGTGTTATAGTGCCAAAATTGAAACATACATAATTTTTGGTGTGTTGGCAGTCCATTCATTTTAAATGACTGACATAAGACAACACACCCCTAGTGCAAATGGGTTCCAAGCTGTTATACATATTCTCTGCAAAATTGTAAGTTCACATAATTGGATGCCAAAAGTGTGGCTATTTTCCTACCACCTGAATTTATTAATAAAACTATTGTAAGCCTTTATTTCTCAAATAATCCTTTTTATATAGAACCCTGTTCTGCTCTCATCCCTAGACAGAACTTCACAACAGAGTAGCACTGCAATATACAGACCACAGCTATTATTAAGAGTATAATGGATTATAAAGCTACAGCTAGCTCCACTTTGTAGAAAATGTAACATTTTACACAGCACCTAACATTCCCAAAAGGGTCTTATAAAAAAATTTAAAAATTCTATTGTTTTGAATTTAAACTAAAGTAGATCTGTTAGTATACCCCAGAGACTCCAGCATAACTTTAGTTACTGTCATTAATCGCATGTGCTCTGAATTCTAGATCATCATTGAACTTAACATATATAGGTGGTCTGGAATTCAGTACTTCTTGTCTGCAGAAAATAAAATAAGGGTATGTGTAGTGCAGTTCTGGAGTATCTTCTGTATGCTGAGGTTAATCAATTCTTCCAAGCTATACATTATAAATGAAGCATTCACTGCTCTTCCACATGAAAATCTTTGATTTGGTTGGTTAAGGTAAATTTACAGTCATTTGAGGGGACATAACCAACAGCTATTGTAATGGGCTCAGATTTTTAACATACATGAACTGGAAATTTATCTGTAGGAAATGGTCCAGGATGAGAAGAAATAAAATGATTTTCTACAGATGAAGTACTTCCTTAACAGGGCCTATCCATCTTCAATTCGTGCACAACTGCATCCTGAAATAAATGTTACAACATCCTAAATCTATCCTGGTTCTAGAAACTTTATAAGCAAAAGTGCTGCAGCATTTCTAATTAAAATTTGTAAATTATATTTTAGTGAACCTTTGTATATATTACATTATGGCCAGTTTTTGAAAGAATGAACCGGACAAAGTACATGGAAATATGAGTGAATAATATAAGAATCTAATCAAACAAGTAGACTCTCTGAAATGTTAGTTTTTTCTGTACAAGTAGACTTTTACCAAAGTGAAGGTTCCCTTAATTTGGTAAATAAAGTGAAGCTGTGTTCATTTTTTAACCTCCCTGGCGGTATTCCTGAGTGTAGCTTGGGGTAAAGTTTCAGCACCACAAGCGGTAACCCTGAGCTATACTCGGGAATACCTTGCAGCGCTGCTCCAGGATCTGTACTTCTCTTACCTTGTCCTTCGTTCCCACGGTGTCCCCCCTGCAGTGTCCCCGGCCATCTCCTCCAGCCAATGTCGGCTTCTGGTCCCTGCGAGCGTCGGGACGTACGGGGGACGGAACCGGTGGGAAATTCAAAAATTTTAAAAGTGACATTCACTCAATACACTAAAATCACATAGTAAAACATTACTGTATCAAAGCATTTCACACACATTTTTGTCCCGAGTGCTTTGTCCTGTGCCCTGCCTGCATTTTTACTGTTCTTTCTGCCTGGAAACTGAGAAATGTCCATGGCGTCCAAAAAGTATCCCTTTTAGGTCAAAAGCGGTTTTAGAGAACAGTGATAGTAAATTAGAACCACTTGCAGAATTGCGTGATAATGATTCGTGGGGAAATTCATCAGACACTGTAAACGATTTTGTGACTAAGCTCAGTGATGTGCGAACTTGGCGCTATATTTCAAATTTCAGTGTTTTTGATTTGATTATATTATTGAATTAAATTTATTATTATATTTTTTATGATTATTTATTATAATTTATGATTTCATGTTTCAAATTTTATAATAGCTGGGATGTTTACTAGACTCTTGTTCAGACAGATTTCAGTGAGTTATTCCTAAGAATTACAGGCCTACAATAAAAAAAAAACCTTTTCATGCAAAAAAAAAAATGAGCACAGAAATACTGACATAATCAGACCGTTAGGGAGGTTAAATCCCCAGACCCTTGCAAGAGAAGGGGGGGGGGGGGGATTTTTGCTCACGTTATTTAAATGAACACTGCTTCACCTCCTCAGTCACGTAGTAAAGTGAACATGCTCATTTCCTTTAGTAAATGTACTCTGACTCAGAACACGCAACTAATAGATATCAGAACTGCTGAAATAGTTCGTATGCAGTGATGGGAGGAGCCAGACGTTTCCTTTAATGGACTTAAATTTATACTTTGCAAGAATTTTAAGAAATTGTTACAGAGTCAAACCCATTTCTTTTCAAAATATGGATGCAGTTTTCGTGCTTTTGCTAAAATCTTCCCCGTTTTTAAATGCATTCTTGCCAGAACTGAAACTGCAAATGTGGTAATCTTACGGACATGTAGGGTGATGTCTGTAAATTGATCTCAACTTGTATGTATGCATATGGAAATGGAGGTGAACCAGAAAAAAGTTGGGTGATTATTTTGGACAATGTCTACAAATTGTGTAAGGCTGCATTGGTTCCAAGTTTTTTGCCCCCCTTTTGCAATTTCAGAAATCCCTACTATATGCAGCTTTGACATAGTTTGAAAAACAAGTTAAAAATGGACTGTTTAGTAACTAAGCGTATCTCTTAATTCTTTAAAAGGCTGAAGCTTCAAAACAACTTAAACCTGACATGCTTGGCCTTAACTAATTTTAAAACGTTTATAATAGTACATTCCTAAAAATAGCAGCCAGCTTATCCTTGCCCATAATTAAAAGGATGGACCAAATACAAAATTAATTTGGAAAAAGTCTCTCAAACATTTATATTTGGAGTTGCTACCTCATTAATTTTACATTTGGCAAGCTTTAGAAATGCAACTGAGCAACTAAATTCCATTCAAGTACAGCAAAAAGAAAAACAATATGCTACAGATTTTTATAAACAGTATGACTGAAAACACTTGCAACCGACTTTTAATAAAATCACAATCAACCAATGTATGGAAGTGGTATATTTCTGGTTACATTTTGTATCGGGAGCATTTTTATACTGGTTAAATGCTCTATTTTAATTTTTTTTTTTTTTTAAATGCCACTATTGAAAAGATCAACTGAAACCGTTTACATCACAAAGTCAATTTAACGTTATAGGTTGTTAGTAAAAGTTATAAAATGTTGTCATATTTAGCATAATTCTGTCGTCCTCCAGTTCTCTGATCCAACTATATATTACCACTGGCTGGTACTTAGAGCTTTGTTAGCTAGTATGAATTTAATCCCGTTGTGTTTTAAGAAAAAAAAAAACGTATTTAATATGTAATCATGTTTTTGGGTTTCCATATTGCTGATGATTTTACACATTTAAGATTTTTTTCAAAACTGCTTTTAAGTTATTTTAACTGTTATTGATTGGGAGAAGTTGCCATAAATGACTTTGTACAGTTTTGTTCACTTAAATAAAACAAAAAAAATTAATCCACTATGTTTTTTTTTATTATGTCATTCTCTCTTCTAAAACTGAACCCTAGCTTTACCTTAAAAGGTACACAACACTATTGTTGGTACCACACTAAACACAAACTGCAATATGTTTAAATATAAGTAGTACCTTTTGTCTCTTGCTTCCTTTGTTTCATCTCTCGAATGCAAGCTTTTTTTTTTTTTCCTGCTATTCTCAGCCTTTCTGTTCTAGGGTGGCTATATTCATTCTCCAGGTCACCCTTTCCTGCTCGCCCCCCCAAGATGGACTGTACATTTACTTGGCCTATACATGTATTTAGCACTATGGGAAATGTGATATGCATACAGAGTGACCAAAAACAAAGGGCTCTACTCACTCTACAAAAAGTAGGGATGAGCTGCATCAATGGAGGATTGAAAATGCGCACATGACAAAAAAATGACCCTGGTATTTTATAATTTAGAACAATTGATGTAAAATTATGAGTGTAGTGTCACGCTAAGTCAGACAGTTGTACAGGCCTCTCCTGTATACTGAAATTGCTTACAGTGCTCATGGTAATCTTCTGATAGCAGACATCTGAAGCTACAGCATAGGAGAGCCCTTGACGCCGAGCGGCCGCACATTTGCGTGCAATTAAGAAGAACATATGTGCTGAGGGAACGCGCCCTGTGCGCTCCCAGCACACTTGTCCGGTACTCACGGAAAGGTCCCGATCTCCTCTTGCGATCGGGGCCTTTTCCGATCATGTGACAGCAATTCATGGCGGTCACATGACTCTAAAACCCCGCCCCACCTCCTTGCTTCTGAAACCCTTAAAGGGCTGGGAGGCGCCGGCACGAAGGGGTTAATGATAGCTTTAAGTGTTACTAAACCCACAATAGTAAAACCAGTCTGTAAAGCATCCTTGTCATACTCACTGTGGCTGTTTTATCCTGTTTTCTCTGATCTTCTTCCACAGTCCCCAATCCATCTGTTGATAGTACAGTGTCCTAGGAGACTCTCCGCACATGCTCAGTTTGGTGTAAATTACTAGAGATGTTTTTTTTTTTTTTTTGGGAGGGTGCATGTGATCAGCGCAGGGCCGATCAGCTCTGTCCAGAGGGTCAGGGGTCATGCAACCTCATAGGACAGTCAGAATAAAAGGAAAACTCCTACAAGATTAACCAGTGCTCGGCCGGACACCGATAGAAGTCACAAGACTGCTATACACTGCTGATGAGGTATTTAGCCGTTTATATTTACTAAAATATATGGATTTCTGTGTACTGTGGGAGACCAGATATACTGAATGTAGGGTCCTGGCTTTAGTAATACTAAGGTTGTCCAGCATCCCTTTCCTTCCCATTCTTACTGTCTCTAGTCTGCATTTTCATTTATTAGATTTTTTCCTTCAATCATGGAAGCTTTACATCACGTGAGCATATTAATGAACCCTGGCTAGGAATGCCCACTACTGCAGATTGACATTCAACCATAAAAGTATTGTTATGTGTCAAAAAACAATAATGCAGCGCTATACCCTCCTGTGAACATAAATTAAAATGACATGCATATACCATAAGCTATAAACATGCAAAGTAATATCCAAAACAACCAAATACATCCATCAAGTGAACAATGGTGACAGAAGTTGTATGTGAAGCCCAAACTGTAATATCCAAATCATAAGTCCATATTCATAAAGTTTGTGAAAAAGCCTTTAAATTAGTCACCCTGTGTTTAGTGAAAGACTGTAAAAGGTCAGCTTATCAGATCCTTAGACCGTTTGCCTAATAAGCAATGATCTAACAGTGCCTGTGGGTTATTGCGGGCCATATAACTCGTTTAATGCGTAAACCATTCCCGTGGGTTAAGCTTCGTCCAAGCATCCGCAGCTTCATATGAGTTAACAACTTTGTTTTTATACATTAAACAAGTTATATGGTTTTACACTATGGGGCGGTTTTGTGCTCTTTATTTTTAAGAGGTATTGTGTGACATTGCAAATCCCATATTGGAGAGAAGTGTTGATACCAGGGCTGAGGGTGGCCAGAATTACCCACAGCCACTGTTAGACCGTTTGCCTAATAAGCAATGGTCTAAGGATCTGGTAAGCTGCTGACCTCCTACAGTCTATTTCACTTAACATGGGGTGACTAATTTGAAGGCTTTTTCATGAACTTTATGAATACGGACTTATGATTTGGATGTTCCAGTTTGGGGCTCACATACAACTTCTGTCACCATTGTTCACTTGGATGTATTTGGTTGTTTTGGAAATTACATTGCACGTTAATAGCTTATATTATATGCACGTCATTTTAATTTAAGTTCACAGGAGGGTAAAAGCACTGCATTATTGTTTTTTTTTTTTTTTTTTTATTGATATTTAGGACTTAGTATCACAAGTCTTTTTGATGCTAGCAGCTTTATGTAGGGTTGGGTTCTCACACGGCAGAGGTTTTTTTTATTGTGTTTACTATTTTGATATTTGTGTAACTCCTCCCAAGAGAATACTCCTTGCTTCTATCAGAACTGAATTGTGCCTATTCTCCTTTATTAAAACTATTGCTGGACAATTTTTACACAGCTGTTTTATCTGCAGGTTGACTATCTAGTTTTGTGCATGAAAACACTAAGGCTGGCCATACACTGTACAATTTTCTTACAATTTCTTCCCAATGTCCTTTAGATTTATTTTATTTATTTCAGGTACTTATATAGACTTGTCAATTTACGCAGTGCTTTACATATATATTGTAAATTCCCATCAATCCCTAACCCTCAAGAGGCGTACAATCTAAGGTCCCTAACTCACATTCATACATACACATACTAGGGCCAATATAGACAGGAGCCAATTCACCTACCACCTAGATTTACCTTCCACTATGTAGTGCAGGGGCCTGCCTAAGTAGATACAACTGAAAAGGTTGTTTAGGTTTGACCTCATATTATATGGTTTTTGGTAAATCTAAAGCAAAATTCTCTAGAAAATTGTATAATGTATGGACAGGCTAAAAGTTCTATCTCCATAACCTGCAGATAAAACAGCTGTGTAAAAATTGTCCGCAATAGTTTTAATA